CTATAAACTCTGGTAAAGCTAAGCAATAGTAGGCGCTTTGCTAACGCTTGGTAGATTTCTACAACTGTCAAGTTTTCCTGTAAAATAAGGAGCGCGAGAGCCATAGTCACTGCACCCGGAACTCTTTTTTCAGGCGAGTTTAGGTGAGTAATGTTGTAGTGGTGCACTTACAACCACTTTTTGCCATGTTCCTGTAAAAGGCAAAAATTAAACCCAAATCATTAGAGTGAACTCGAATGCGTTGATTCCCACCTTTTTCGGTTCACTCTTGGCCTCGTCATGTCCCGATAGAGTCAGCAAGTACAAGTAGGTGTGCGAATTATAATAATCTTCGACCAATCGTCTCTGAGTGCTCTTCAGCTTGAGGAGGGGGTACTTTTTATTGATTCCCTGTTTCTTGAACTAATTCCTCTTAACATACATTTCTCACCATGGGGACAGCTGTAGTACTTGGTATTGCTTACATGGAGAGGTCAACAGGTCTATTCGGCCGTTTGAAATAAAGTGCACCTTTTACGCGTCTTGGAGCGATGAGCTCTACATTCATGGTTTGAACAATTGCTGTTGATGTTCTGTTAATAGAGTTGTAGACGTTTTCCACACTGTTCAAGTTAGTTCAAGAAACAGGGAATCAAAAAGTACCACCCTCCTCAAGCTGAAGAGCACTCAGAGACGATTGGTCGAAGATTATTATAATTCGCACACCTACTTGTACTTCGCTACCCTATCGGGGACATGGACGAGAGCCAAGAGTGAACCGAAAAAGGTGGGAGTCAGCGCATTCGAGTCCACTCTAACCAGTCTGGCTGACGCGCATTACTGCGCGCACGGTTAAACCTATGGTACTGATAACTGACAGGATTTCTGTGCTGAGCATTAACACAGCGTAATTCCCATGTTTCGAAAACGGCCCATTTCGTCACGTTTCTCTCTTTTAATGAGCATTTGCCGATGTTTGGTGCTTATCATATTTCTAAAAGCACCATTCATTCCATTCGTTGAAAATAGGACAGCATAGCGGTTGGAAGAATTTCGATGGGAAAAATATCGAAATCATGATGGTTCTTATCATTCCTCACTGGCCAACAACTCCAGACATCCTCTTTCCGGTGGAACTCGAGCGTTTAGCGGTGGAAGCAATTCCGACCGCTAAACTGAGGGATTTTGCCAAGGGATAGAAACATCTTGACTCACTAAGCCTTCGTCTTGATTGTTTGGCCACGGTGATGTGAGCATATACTGACTCCCAAAAGCCCTTGACACTGTCAGAATTTATCTCCCACCTTTAATGTTCCCTGAGCACCTCTGAATTACTTGCTGGAGCAGTTCCCCAGTGTTGCTACAACTCTGCTGTGAATTTCCGGGGCTATCTTATCAGCTGTTATCACTTCCTGCCACCCACCAATAATGTTCCCATCCTGCCACCTATCTTACTGCTTGGAACCAACGTCCCATCGTCGCTGTGACCGGTGCTATGAATTTGGCGACTTATCTTATCAGCTGTTATCACTTCCTGCCACCCACCAATAATGTTCCCATCCTGCCACCTATCTTACTGCTTGGAACCAACGTCCCATCGTCGCTGTGACCGGTGCTATGAATTTGGCGACCCTTCCCTTCTTGGCTCCTGTTGTTATCTTATCAGCTGTTATCACGTCCTGCCACCCACCATAATGTTCCCATCCTGCCCCCTATCTTACTTCTTGGAACCAACGTCCCGTCGTTGCTGTGGCCGTTATGAATTTGGTGACCCTCCCCTTCCTTAAAGCTGCCATTACGATTATCTTATCGCTGTTATCACGTCTGGCCGCCACCGATAATGTTCCCATCCTGCCTTCTATATCACTTCTTGGAACCAAAGTCCTACCGTCGCTGTGAAGCACGTTATGGACTTTGTGCCCCTCCCCTTCTAAAGCTCCTTACGTTATCTTATCAGCTGTTAATCCTCGGCCGCCCACAATAATGTTACCCATCCTGCCTCACTATATAGCTTGCTTGGAACCAACGTCCCATCCGTGGTGTGAAGGCTGTTACGATTTGGGACCCCTTCCCTTCTTGGCTCCTGTTGTTTTATCTTATCAGCTGTTATCACGTCCTGCCACCCACCGATAATGTTCCCATCCTGCCTTCTATATCACTTCTTGGAACCAAAGTCCTACCGTCGCTGTGAAGCACGTTATGGACTTTGTGCCCCTCCCCTTCTAAAGCTCCTTACGTTATCTTATCAGCTGTTATCACGTCTGCCGCCCACCATATAATGTTCCCATCCTGCCTTCTATATCACTTCTTGGAACCAAAGTCCTACCGTCGCTGTGAAGCACGTTATGGACTTTGTGCCCCTCCCCTTCTAAAGCTCCTTACGTTATCTTATCAGCTGTTATCACGTCTGGCCGCCCACCAATAATGTTCCCATCCTGCCCCCTATCTTACTTCTTGGAACCAACGTCCCGTCGTTGCTGTGGCCGGCGCTATGAATTCAGTGGCCTTTCCCTTCTAAGGCTCCTTGTGTTATCTTATCAGCTCTTATCACTTCCTGCACCCTACTAAAGGAGGTTATGAAGTTCCGGTCAAAGTCACACATACAGACACACAAACATACATTCACACACACACACACACCAACAGACAACCTTATACAGATTATATATAGTAGGATGATATGGGTAACCATAAGTAGTATCACTGATTCATTCCTCAGTTTCCCACCAGTTTTTGGCCAAGAGGGACTTCCACGGACATATTCAAATGATTGCTCTCCAAATAGATACTGAAAGCCAAAAAGTGCTCACTCTCCTTACGTACAAAAGCCCATCATGTAGTACCTCCTCGTTTACCGATTTTATCGAGTATATTGAATGCTCTCCTGAGTGAGTGGAGGGATCGCGTAGTAATTTTGGGAGACTTCAACTTCCCTACGATTGATTGGCACAACATGGCCCACAGAGGCAATGTATCAACGCAAGCTTCCTCCTCGTTTCTCCATCTTGCCCGCTCATTCAACCTTACACAAATGGTAAAAGAACCCACGCATGGGATCAAAAATTACGAGAAAAACGCCGATCCGCGTTTTTTCGTTTTTCCGTTATAGAGCTGTTCCTGTTGAATTTTTGTATGGATACCCATATATGGCTAGAATCAGCTCGTCGAGCTGTATCCGAGGGTATGCTCATATTCTACGACGTTGGGTTTTGGCGCCACTTTGCGACACCTTAGCGCCACAACTTTTCTCAACAACATCTGTATAAACATCTGGTCGTGTTGCCAAATGTGGCGCTAGGGCGCCAGAATTGGCACGCTAATGGCACTCGAACGGGCGCTCATGGTGGAATGAATCCACCGAGAAACCCCATTATGCAAGTTTATACGGATTTTTTGGGAAAGGTCGTGTCGCCAATGTGGCGCTAGTGGCGCCAAATCGGCACCTAATGGCGCCAAATGGCGCCACGGCTAGAAATGAATGTCACTTTCGTGAACAGGGCACTGAATAGCCCCAGTAAGCAAGTTTATACAGATGTTGTTGAGAAAAGTTGTGGCGCTAAGGTGTCGCAAAGTGGCGCCAAATGGCGCCAAATGGCGCCGGCCAAAAAGCCAACATCGTATAGAATAGTGAGCTGACTCTGCGTGCATGCTCGAAGCTGATCTAGCCATATATGGGTATCCATACAAAAATTCAACAGGAACAGCTCTATAACGGAAAAACGAAAAAAACGCGGATCGGCGTTTTTTTCGTAATTTTTTGAACACTTACGGCGGGTACTGTAAAAGAACCCACGCATGGGATGAATATATTGGACATACTCTTAACTTCCGAGCCATCCATTATCGCTGGGCTTTGTACACTGCCCCCATTTAGCACTTCGGATCATCGTCGAGTTAAATTTAAAATTGTTGACGCATCCCTAGTTCGTTCAAACAAGCCAACGTATTATGCAGACTATACTCAAAAGGCGAATTTTGCGTCAATCATCGAGTCACTTGCGCACATTGACTGAACAGGTCACAACTCTTGCAGTAGCACAAACGCGTGCTACATCGAGTTTGTTAGCATTTGTAAGCATTTAATCGAAAGATACGTTCCGGTTTCCCGTCGCCAAAGACAGTTGCGAAGGGTACTCGAAGCGTATACGATATTTGAAAGCGAAAGCTGATTATTTGTATTCAAGTTCTTTGTCAGTACATCATACTGAATACAAGAGGTATTCTATGAAGCTTAAAAGAGCGCTCTTTCGCAGGCAAATGCTCAAGGAAAAGCTTTTAGCCTCCAGCAAGAACACCAAGCGCTTTTTCAGTTACTATAGAAAGAATCTCAAATTGGCTGACTCAATTCCGAATTTAACTTCACAGGGTGTCCTAAAAATGATAGATCAAAAGCGACTTGTTTGCTTCCTTTTTCAGCTCAGTGTACAAGAAGCCCCGCCTAATGGATATCAACACGTCAGGGGTTGCATCCGGAGACCTTGACTGGGTAGACATAAACGACAACACGGTTTACAATGCTTTGAGGAAGCTCCCGAATAGGGTATCCACGTCGCCGGATGGTATCCCTTACGTGTTTCTTAAGAAGGCAGCACTAGGACTCGCTTCTCCTTTGACCATTCTTTTCAATAGAGCACTACTTCAAGGAGAGGTTCCCTGGAAGATTGGGCTAGTGCGACCAATATTCAAAAAAGGCTGTAAAAATGAAGTTTCCAACTACAGACCCATTTGTTTTGACCAGCTCTGTCAGCAAAGTGATGGAACGGATACTCTGTCGTGCAATAATGGGGTTCTTAACTGAGAGACAGTTGTTGCACAATGTCCAGCATGGGTTCCGTCAGTACAGGTCCACAACTTCAGCATTGTTGTCAAGAATCCCTCTCTGCCAGAGAGATATTAGAGGGGATTTTATTTCTGCTTGTTACATTGATGATGTCAAAGCATTTGACTCGATATCTATAACCTCCTTTGAAAAAACTGGCATCCTATGGCATAGGGGGTCAGCTTTTTCGCTTCCTCGAGTCTTTTCTGGTCAACAGAACCCAAGCAGTAGTCATCAACAATGTGAAGTCCTTCACGTACCCTACGCCCAGCGGTGTGCCTCAGGGCACATGTTTGGGTCCACTAATGTTTATAATCTACGTGAATGACCTTGTCGGATCCCTACCCGCGGGTACGTTCTGTAGTATGTACGCAGACGACTCGAAGATTTATACAGTGAATAACTGCGAGAGATTACAGGCCGCTCTTGACGCTGTCGAAAGCTGGTCAGACAAATGGCAGCTGGTGATCTCCTTACCTAAAACAGTCATCATGAGAATTGGAAAGAATCATCCGGATTTCGTCTTCACAATGTTCGGGAAGCCTCTTAAATGTGCCCATTATGTGCGTGATCTAGGCCTGATGTATAGCGACAAACTCGAATTCGACAGCTACATAAGTCAAATTACGTCAAATGCTAACATGAGGGCCAATTTCATACTCAGAGCGTTTCGGACCGCTATCCACCCTGGCTATTTGCTGCTTTCACATATGTCCGACCCCCCTCCTTGAGTACTGCTCTCCCATTTGGTCGCCTTGTAAACGATCACAAATTGATGAAATTGAAAGAGTGCAAAAGAGCTTCACATATAGATGCTTTTATCGGAAAGGTATCACCACACTATCTTATGAACGTCGTCTCCAAAAACTTGACGCGGAATCGCTTGAGTTCCGACGAAAGCTGCATGATTTTGGACTGCTCTATAAGTTAACAACTGGGCAAATAAGTGTTAAATTGGATGTTCTTTTTGGAATGTCTTCCACTATAGGTTTAGCCAGGGGTCACCCCTACCGTGTGCGCCCGTATAAGGCCAAAACGTCGTCCTTCCAAGGTTCGTTTCTTGCCAGAGTCGCTACTCTGTGGAATAGTTTAGACTGTGAATGTTTCAGGTGGAAGCGAGCTTCGTCCTTCCAGGAGCATATAAGGCCCATTCTCAAGCGTAGTCCGGCTGATGCCCACATTACATGACCTCGCTTTCTGTAAACTTGAATCCTTTGGATGTAAGGCTGGAATTGTCTACTTGTCATCTCGCTTGAGAAACAAAATCATGATATAGTTATCGTGCTAATGTTCAAGTTGGCTTAGAATCTTTTTTTTATTGGTGTTTTTTCGTTTCGTTTTTCTCCCTCTTCTTCTTCTCTCTAGACTGACACTTGTAACCTTGTTCCCCTTATGTTGCCCCCGCCCCCCTTTTCTTTTTTGCACCTGCTGCTGTTGGTATTGCGCAATGGGAGTTGGCCCCTAGCGACGTTGGCGGACCTACTACGATGGTATCCGGAGTTCGTGTTGAAGCTGGTCCGAACTTGCAGTGTGGCAGGCCCGCTCCCCGCCCTCTCATTATGTTCCTCCGCGCCCCCCCCTCTTTTCTTCTCTCCATCCCATTGTTCTGTACTTCCAGTTCGGCTCCCGCTCAACTTAACTACTTAAAGACAGCGCCCGCGATCACCTTTAGCGGGTTGTAAAGCTTATAACCATTAGATCACGTCTTAAATGCAATACTAATGAAGAAAAAAGTAAATGAAAGCGTTAAAAATGTCCTAAAAAGACCTCATGTACGGGCTTGAAAATGGACGAGTTATTTAAACTTTGCGCGAGTTCTCTGTATCTAATCGCTACTTGCTGCTGCTTATTCTCCAAGGCATATTTGATAAGATTAGCAATTATCACCGCTAACGAATCCATGGGAATCAAAAAATGATTGAGGTGGAACATGTTGACTCCCCCTCATAGGCGGAGTCAGCTTATCGTTGCTGAGCGGTCGTGCTTTTATCAAGCGCTTTTGAGCCGCGAAAAAGGGATATCCGCTCTGATGTCAAGCTCCGCCATCTAGTACTCTAAAGGACTTTTGCACCTTCGGTGATCGCGGACGCTGTCTTTAAGAACGAATCTCACGTCAAAGTGGTCATATTTAATGGGACCTTACACCAGCGGACGTGCTTTTGACGCTGATCTCCAGCTTCCTTTCAAAAGTTGCCAGACTACTCTCTGGTCTCCATGTTTGGCAGGCAATTAATAAGTCGTATTATCGGATCCCTTCCGGGTTTAATTTTTGCCTTTTACAGGAACATGGCAAAAAGTGGTTGTAAGTGCACCACTACAACATTACTCACCTAAACTCGCCTGAAAAAAAGTTCCGGGTGCAGTGACTATGGCTCTCGCGCTCCTTGTGTTTAAAGGAAAACTTGACAGTTGTAGAAATTTACCAAGTGTTAGCAAAGCGCCTACTATTGCTTAGCTTTACCAGAGTTTATAGAGAATTTCGCAGAACGATCAATGGGAACTAGCAAAATGCCCCCACAGAGCCTAGCTGCGACAACTTTCAATCGATTCTTTTTGTTCGAAATGTTCAGCGAAATTAACGGACGAATCTTTCGTTGAATAGGTGTCACGTTTATTATCATCTGAGCATGTTTTTAAGGTGAAAACGGTATAGCGACAAAGCATCCGCTAATCAGTATAAAAGGGCTGTTCGAAACCGACCCACCAATACACCTGATATTTCCTCCTTTTACAGCAGTAACGCTCCCTTATTTGGTTCCATTCCACTTAGTAATTATTTTTACAAGATTTGTTTAGATCCTTCATTGAACAGATGGGATGGGATATGGCGCAACACGACTGCGGCGATCCGCAAGTGGTGGCGCGTTCGCGCGCCTTCGCACCAGGACCTAATTGATCTAATGTGGTACTGTTGCAGTGTGTGTCAAGGGTAGTAGTCAGAAAATGGTTGGATATAGGCGCGTCGCCGTGAAATGCCTGCGTTGAACTGAGCCCTTCTGGAAAATATTGATTTAGTGCGCATGTGAAGAGCACACCTTCTTTCATGCGTCTAAAGTAACCGGACCACCCCTTCTTACCCTTGATGTCCTTTTTTATAGCTCCTGCATGTCCAAGGGAATGTGCCACTCTTCATCAATAACGCCACTTTTTGACGCAGCAATGCTATTCCATACCGACATGGAGGTACAGTCACAAAATAGCATGTTTCGGAGAGGTTGCAGACAGAGGAAATGACGTGACTTAGTAGAGTAGTGCTCCTCTACTGATCACCCTCACAGACCGCAGACTCCTACTAGCCGTCACAGACTATGTCCCCCCCCCAGTACTCTTACCCCTGATGGTGATTCGCTTACCATTCCTGTAGTTCACTTGACAGAAAACTTTTTGTCCCCTCCTACTCCAGAACATAAGAAAAAATAATTTCTCAGGCAGTCTCCCCGCGAAGCACAGAACTTGACGCTGCGCATTCTCAACAAACGTACCGGCTCTTTGAAACCAAGTCCCTACCCAGTAGCTCTTCCTAAGAAACATTTTTCTCATTTTTATCGTTTGTTTTCACATAGCGTTTTATTTACTCTTCCATCTGCACCCACCTAGACATTGGACTACAAGCAAATACCATTAAGTTCAGATGAAGTTTAAGACCTTCTACTAGAGAAGACGCTAGGCAAAGTTAATGGGCCTCGTGAAGGAATGTAAGGCCGATGGCCAATGGCGGTGTTCTCCATCTCCGCCCATGCATTCAAACCGGAATAAAAAATTGGAGCACACTGTAGGTACATTCCTTTTTCAGACTTTCAGATACCTTAAAAATGAACAGCTGGATGGTCGTTCTGCTGTTGGCACTTCTCAACGTTGAGATGTTCGAATGCGGTTGCTACAAGAACTGGAGCCGATGCACCCCCCAAACCAAAGTTAGTTCAACATGTTTTCAACATTTCCATTATCTCTCATTGAACCCCACTAGCATTTGGGCCCGCTCGAACGGATGCTACTTGGACTGAAGGGGGAACGCTACCACCCACAGACAGTGAGTGGAGGAAACCACCCCTTTCCCCCGAACGTGTTCATTTTTAAATGAGACCTGGTATTGGAAAGTGCAGGAGTGCAGCAACTTGATTCCACGGTTGGACAAGTATTAATCGGTAGCACTATCCACTGGTCTCACTACTTCCCCCCCCCCCCTCCATGTGCCATGTTCATCACCAAAGCAGAGCCTTAGAATTGGCAATGAGGAGGGTTTTCTTAAAGGCACATTTCTCGCTGGAGACGTGGCTAAAGCGACCAAGATTGGACCTCGTAGGAGAGACTGTGGGGAAAACCTTACATAAGACCCGTTTCGGGATCGTACGAGTTGACTAGCGTCTGGACGTGTTTCTCGGGAATCCTGGGCTTGTGCTATTCGACAAGGGCAACGCCTTTCACTCCAGCTGATCCTTGAGAAGTTTCGGCTAATTCTGCTACTTTTATATGCAATGTTCATTTGTTGTGCCCATCGCGTTGGTTGGGAAGAGCGCTCGTTAGGAATGGGCGGAGCTCCAGATGCCGCCGGAAGTCTCTCGCGCCCTTGCTACGCTGATACGGGCGGGGGAGTCTCCAGTGCGGCTGCGCAAGTGCCATCTACCGCAATGAGTAAAACAGATTCGCCGCACCTACTGCTGAGAAAAGGACGCAAGGAACTTGTGACACGAGCGAGGCTCCGCCCATGCTTAGCGGATTCTCTCGGTAAATATGCGGAAACTGCTTGATCTCTGCGATAATCAGGAAATGTTTCACTTCTAGGGTGTTTCGCCTTGATGCAGTTGTAGTTTTTGGCGCAAAAAAAGACTACAACAGGCTATTTTAGTTTTATCGCAAAAAAAGACTACAACAGGCTATTTTAGTTTCTGACGGGCATAATGTGGAAAACCTGCCCCGAGTATTGCCAGAAATGCAAAGGACAACCCACAGGGAAATGTGTTCGTGTGTACAACAAAGTCTGCAGTGGCGGTTATATGTGCAAGTGAGTTGTTTTGTGATTCACCCCTATGCAAGGAAGTACACTCCTCATCATTACGGACTGTCGGGGCGGGTCAGTGCGGCTGCGTTTTCCGCGGTGCCAAAGTCTTTCTGCACCAGTTGTTGAAGCGAGCAATGACATGACAGCATTATATCCTTCGTATTACTCGTTTTCTACCACTTTTTGTCGCATACGCGTTTCAACGAAAAGGCTGAGAACGGCTTCAAACAGTGTGCGCACTCCTACTGGCTGATACGCCCCGACAGTCCGTAATGAAAAGGAGAGTATTTCGAGGGAGACCTCATACATGAGCTCGGCACAGTTCGGCGCACGGGGGCAATGGGGGGGGCATTTTGCACTTTTGCTACTTCCCATCGACGTGTCGACCCATCTAGACAGCCTCTTCTCGAGTTGACAGGTTTTACCATGATGGCTTGACGAGCTTGCTCCAGCTTCACAAGAGTTCACAGGTTTCACCAGAGTGAGACTTGTAAACTGGAAGCAGTGAAGCAACGAAAGTGCAAAATGCCCCCCCCCCCTCCTCCCCCTTTCGCTGAACTGCGTCCATAAGCTCTGCAGTAGCTCTCCTATCGAAATTCCATCTTTCTAAACGATCATCATTGACATGAAGGAGGGGTTCGGCAGGACGAGAACTTCTCTCCCGAACAGCTATCAAGCTCCTTAATTCAGCGCTAGGAAACGCACGTTGGAGCCAGAAAGAGATTAGCTTAGGGGTTTCTCCAATTATACACTCCTTCATGCCATAATGTACGCCCACAGAACTGGATTCTGTGCAGGCACATTGCGCAGGAGGTCAGCGTTATTCACCGCGTTGTGAAGAAGACGGCGCTACCACAGGTCTCCCACCACCACACGCAAATGCAAGACGATTCTGGAGCTTTGAACTCCGTCAAAGGTCAAAGGCTCAGGAGGGGCTGTTTTTGTCAAGAATAATCCACACGAGCAAGGCATATGATACGATTCTAAATGCTTACTCCTAACGTAACCCGGATCCTACGGGACGTCAAATGAACGCTAGGGTAGAATCGCCTGCCCATTGCTTAGACTTCTTCACGAAAGCTCTTCACGAATGGAATTATACGACTCAGGCTCGCAACGGGACGAAATGAGGCGTGAAACTGGCGCCCGCTGGAACTTTTCGGTGAGTGACTAAGTGCACACTCATCTCCATGGATATTGTCCTTGCAGAGGGTGAAGAGAATTAGTCCGCATCTGCGGTAGCATGCCACTTTTCCTCCGTCAAAACTGTACGGGAACGAAGCTGGAGGCTAGTGATATCCGGGTGCCATTCCGCGCTCCCCCCGCGCTGCCGCACGGCCAGCCTCTTATCTGGCCATAAGCGCTTCTTGTCTGCGCTCTCACTTCTGGTTGTTCTCTTCCGCTGATGTAGGTTTCGCCGCGGCTCCCTGGTCAGTGGACAGTTAGCCTTTGATGAGAGACAATGGAACCTTGGAGGAATACTTTTAACGAACAACCGTCTGGATGTGGCCATTGTAAGAACGTTCGCGATTGGAGATCGCGTATAAGCAGCCAATCACATAGGCGCCGATGCAAACTTTCTTACTATTTCCACCTTTATTTCCTTCAAACACCAGTACCTATGCAATACTACGCTAGAATACTATTTCCTCTTGCTTGTTTCACAAAAATTCTCATATCATTTCCCATTTCAGGTGCTTCGGCCCAGTAGGAAAGAAATCAACACGTCCAATTGATGTTAAAACCTGCAGATATGGACTGTAGATCACCGTCAGCATGTATCAGATGATTGGTACAGTAGAACAGTACAAATAAACATTCGCAGTCACCAGTTAGTACCATATTTTACGTACTTTCACGTACTACAGCGGCAACGCTACGTTTTGCAAACAGCTGTCGAGTTCCAGCTTGCGTGCTCTGCTCTTTGAAGTGAAGCTGGCTGTTGTTCTCCTATTACTGAAGAGTTAGACCATGAGCAAGGTGCCGTAGCGAGTCTGCCTTCTGAGTTCGATGTGGGATCCACGACGCGCCTGACTAGGATCGTGCCAGTCACCTTTTTTCTTCCCCTCTCCCTTTATCTCCGATCCCTCAGCCGCACCTCTAGGATCTCGTTACTTTGATGTCCAACACTGAAAATCGGTAATTCTTATTCGATGCTATTCTGACGGTTGCTTCTTCGCTTTACTCCGAATTGCACCTTTACCTTGATACTCCCTCAGTGAGGTTCGAGATCCTGACAGTACATCGTCCATATCGAATGACGAATGGGGGGAGGAGGGTATGTCGAGGCTGTCCCTCCAGCGTATTTCCACGTCGGCTCCCTCCCATACATACGTCTCCACCTCTACGTTTTCATCCACCATCCCCGAAACCATCACCCTTATCGCAGCTACTCCCCTCGTTGCTCTCAGATATGGCAACTTCACCAGTCGGAGCGCCCGGCTAACGCCGAGCTCTCCTCCTTATCTTTAGCTGGCTTGGCTTCGCCAGGCGCACTTCATAATGGGAACGGAATTTGTTCTTTCACCTAGCTACTCATAATGCGCTGTTTTGATCGAATCGTAATAGATGGAGCAACCCACGCGCGAGCTCACGTCCAGCTGCCACGCGAGCAGCTTGAGCAATGGCTTGGGGTGTACTAAATGGTTGTCTTGTATAAGGGTGAGGGTATTATCACAATCAGAACAACATCTTAGTTTGTTACTTTATTATGGATTACCTTGCAGTTTTGCTAGCGGTTGTATCCTCCTCTCCTACTATTACTCTACTCAAGCGTGCGCTACGCCCCCTCCCCACTACTTCCTTCACTTGCATATGATAAGTTCCGGCTGAGCACGTGCAGGGGAAGGAAGCAGAGGGGAGGGGTCACTCGGTGCCCCCCCCCCCTCGGCTCCACCCCACCCTGCCCCCGCACGAGCACACGTCCAGCTGCCACGCCAGCAGCTCGTGCAATGGCTCGGAGTGTACCGAATGGTTGTCTTATATAGCGGAGGCTGTTATCACAATCAAAACATTGGATTGATACATCCGCACCAATCGGTTACCGGTTTGCCTAGCGGTCGTTTTCTCCTCCAGCGAACTCGAACCCGTGAAGCATTTTGCGGACGGACAGACATACATACATACATACATACAAACCGACACACAAAGTTACTGGTTTATAAAACTAAAGGACTGACGGCAGGGAAGCCGAGCTTGGCCTGAATATCGTAAGTGACTGCATCTCTTTGATGCGGCCAGAAACGATTAGTCTCAGAAAGTCACCACGCACTGTTGCGGCATCACTACAGCTCTACTTGCATACGATGACGCTCTGTGTGCCGTTCCAGCTGCGCCGCCGCACTCGGATCTCCCAGCACCAGTCATCTCTTGAGCTACTCATCCAACTTGCTCTCATGATTGACAAGAACGTTTAGCAGAACAAATTTTTTCTTAAAAATTTATTGCAGATAAATATTTGTATGATAGTTCTGTGGCAATTTGATTGTTCTTGTTTGTTGGACCACGATCCTAAAAGGAGAGAATAATTTGCGCAAGATTGTCACCTCCAATCTTCTTGGACATCCCTACGTATCCGTAGAAATTGAAGATTGGACATCACATCCACACTGTGGCGCAAGTGGCATTGGAAAGTGGGCCAGGTGGAAATTGGAAAGTTACATCAAATCGTGGTGCGCGACATTCGCACCACGATTTGATGTAACTTGTTAACTGGCAAAGACTGGCAAGGAAGTTCTGGCTAGATTTTCGCTTGTCACCATAACATGGATATGATGCTCCCTTCTTGCGACAATGAGTGTCGTTTTAGGAGTAGGGGGGGGGCAGCAGAATAGAACTGTAGACGCTTTTCTCCGCTACCACCAAAAAAGGTCTTGGATTAGCGTGTACATCTCAAGAAATTCAAAAAAAGGGGGCAGCGGCTTTGGGTGAGTCACGGATTCATCCTCCGATCTGCCTGCTCAGGGGCGCGGAATCCCGTCCTGCCAGGCGAACCCCCTCCTCGAATACCACCCCACTCCACGAACACACAAAAACCCAGCTGAGCTCGTGATAGCGATGGTGGTGTGTGTGGGAGGGGGTGAGCAGGTAGAGGGAGAGAAGTTCAAGGAAGGGAACAAGTTACTGATCAACTATTGGAGTAAAAGTGCCGCCCCGCCGTCCAGGGGGACTTGCGACAGACCGACAGCTACCCCGGAGCCAATCGAAAAAGTTTCTTATCGAGGCAGCATGCGAC